CAAGTAAGCATATGTTCATTTACTCACCAGATATGTTTTAGAAACTCTCCAGAGCTTATGGAAACCGTCCTGTGTTGCCGTTAGCATCCGGGCAGAGTAGGCTAGGCTGCTCCGGGGATTCCCTCGCTAGTTTGCTTCGAATAAAAGGAGAAGTGTCGATTTTATTTTACAGATGGGTAACAACGCACAAAATGGCATTAAGCGTGACAGAAATGTGTTGAACATGTACATTTGATGTTTTTATGCACTATGTATGCGTGAGCATATATAAAACATTCTTGAAAAGAAGTGAATAGTAATGCAGTTAAGCTAGATACACAAACGACCATGAATGAACCGCAGAAGATTAAAATTGTCACTCCATTCTAAAGTTATTAACTTAACAATATGTTTACAACTGTATTTCCTTAGAGAAAGTCAGTAAAATACCAACATTTAGGTAGTTTGACTCACCAGTTGCTGTTCTAAACCTCAGATGGAAAATGGCGTCTGGAAAATTCTTCAGTGACTGGGGCTGCATGAATTCCCGGATGTTGGAAATAACACCACCAAGTGTAGAAAAGATAACTCCTTGATTTCGCACTGAATAAAATCAATTCTAACTCTTATTATATTCATTTATCAAAATCTAACTCTTTAACGTCAACACTTTACTCTGAAATGCTTCAACACCGAGAATTTAACTCAGATGAATTTGCTGTGTAGGGGGAAACCAGAGCACCCAAAGGAAACTCATGCGAACACGGGGAGAACATGCAAACTCCACACAGAAATGCTAAATGACCTAGTCGAGGCTCAAACCAGCAACCTTCTTGCTGTAAGGCGACAGCGCTACCCTCTATACCACTGCGCCACCCTAAATGAATAAATAAATAAATAAATCAATTAATTAATGTCAGTCAGACACTAGTCACATTTCTAAAGGTCCGTTTACACAACAATATGCACTACAAGCGGTATGCACTAATAACTGATAGTTTGTTTATTTAGTGGCATATTGTTTGATGAGCGAGTAAATTAACAAACTGTCATTTATTAGTGCATAACTGCTGTGAAAATAAATAAATAAATAAATATTAATCATCAATCATTCAACTTGTTTAATTGTTCGTTCAATCATTTGTTCTATCGTTTGTTCAATCGTTCATTCAAGCATTTGACTCTGAATCTTTTGTTAGATTTTCTGTGGGTTTTCCAGGTGTTCTCTGACGCTGATTAGACGTTAAAGCTTGATGGCTTATTATGCACATCAGCCATGTCAGTCAAATTAAAGCATTTTCATAATGACAAAGACCCTTGTGATAATTACTAATGACTGTTACCTTTGATTGTCTCCTGACATTTATAAGGCAATCAATCACGAAACATATGTGTCAGACTTTACCTGATTTCCCACACTTGCTGAACTCACCCTAATAACTTCCATTACCAAGTCGTTAGCAATCATTACGTTATTCCTATGAGATAAGTTGTTCACGCAAAACTCGACATGATTGCATGTTTAATGAAAATTTTAATAAACTTTCAGCACGTTCAGAACTATTTGAAGGTGATCTGAGCATTACAAAATATTAAGATGTTTATGTTTGGTTATTATTTAAAGTTTTATTATAAATTGTTACAATATTAAAGATACATGAAGTCACATTGCTATAACGTTTATTGTCGATCTAAAAAGGACAACCATCAAAAAGACTAAACGAAAATTGTTGTTTTTCTAAACTTCAGCCCTGTCTTCACCCTTTCCTTCTGAGCCCAATTAAGAGCCTTAATCAGCTAACGACTTTGGCGCGGCCCGTTAGAGGGGAATTAAGCAGGTAGAAATGATAGGGTGAGGAGGAAGGCAAAATGCTGAGGAGACTGTTTGAGCATCTCTAGTGTAAAATTAAAAAAGAAAGAAAAGCGATTAAAAGAGAACAAGCTGGAGCAGAATGAGGGCTAGCACTCTTTAGAGGCACTGAATTAGCCAATCATATACACACACACACACACACACACACACACACACACGCACACACACACACACAAACACGCAATCCTGAAATTAATATGGTGAGCCTCCTCAAAGTGGCAGTATGAGAGTGTAAAATTGTATATTGTGTATTTACTTTATCACAATTAAAATATTATCAATGATATTCAATGAAAAAAAATAATAATAATTACAATATTTATTAAGTAAGTAAGTAATGTGTATTTACATAGCACATTTATCGTGTATGGCCATACACCAAAAGCGCTTCATAACTATCTCTCCACACCACCACCAGTGTGCAGCATCCACTTGGATGATGCGACGGCAGCCACAGGACAACAGCGCCAGTGTGCTCACCACACGCCAGCGTTTGAGGAAACCGATTGCAACAAACCATTTAAGTTCAAAACTAATCCTAATGAGTACTGTGAACTTGATCTATTTGAGTAAACAATGCAATTTAAGCACGTTAAAACTCAATAAATGAAGAGAATTCAAACCAACTGAGTACTGTAAAACTCGATAAGTTAAGGCCACTCAAACCGTTTAAGGAAACCGATTGCAACAAACAATTTGAGTTCAAAACAAATCTATGAGTACTGTGAATTTACTCCATTTAAGTTGAAGTAATGAGGTATGTAATTTACTCACTACCTTCAACACTGAATTCAAAACTATTTTTAAATGAGTAGAATTAACTTTCAGTCAATTTTGAGTTAACTACACTCATTTAGTTTGATAAAGTTGGCTGTTGGGTTTTACAGTGTGGAGTGGAGAGAAAATGATGAAGCTAATTTGATGAATAGGGATAATTGGGAGGCCATGATGGGTAAGTGCAGATGAAGGGAATTTTATATAATTTATAAATATTAATATAATTTAATTTATAAATTAAAAATATAATTTATTTATTTATTCATTCATTTTTATTCGGCTTAGTCCCTTTATTTATCAGGGGTTGCCACAGAGGAATGAACCACCAACTTCTCCAGCATATGTTTTACACAGCGCATGACCTTCCAACTGCAACCCAATTCTGGGAAACATTCATACACTCTCATAAACTACGGCCAATTTAATTAATTCAATTCACCTATACTGCATGTCTTTGACTCTGGGGGAAACTGGAGCACTCGGAGGAGACCAACACAGGGAGAAAATGCAAAAACTCCACTCAGAAATGCCAACTGACCCAGCCAGGATTCGAACCATCAACCGTCTTACTGTGAGACGACAGTGCTAACCACTAAGCCACTGTGTCGCCTCATTTATTCAAAAATCTATAAAAAATCTGGATTTTACAAGGTTTAAGAAAACACTTTCTACATTTTTGTCAATGCACTAATCCATTGTTCTCTTTCCTAGTGACTTAAATAGGCATCTTTTCTTGACAAAACAAAACAATTATCAACTGAGACTTCTGCTTAATCCTTCTGGTATACTTAAAGCCACATATTTTCAAAGAAACTTGACATTTAAAAAAAAAGAGATTGTTCTAGTAAGTTGCATAAGGGTTTTATTTTTTCATAATACGTAACGTCATGGAAAACTCTTTCTTTGTCAACAAAATAGACAACAATCAGTAATAATATTGATTTATGACAATGGCCACATGCATTCGTCTCAGTTGCACATCCTCAGTTTTCTTAACCAAAGTTGACTTGTGTTTATAGCTCTCTCTACTGTTTTTTTAACTGTATTGAGCTGTATCAAGAAGATATATATTTTTCCAGTTTGTCAAGTTGACTTAAAAAAAGAAAAAAAAAAAAAACAGAGAGCTCCTAATTAAATGAAAATGCATTATTATTGTTATTATTATTTATTTATTTTGTTAATTATATACTTTTTAATTATTACAGTATATATAAAATTATTTGTATTATATATTATTATAATTTATTTATTATTTCTAATAATTATATTTATATAAAAACAGGGCTCCCGAATAAATGAAAATGCATTATTATTACTATTATTTTATTATTATTTTTTATGATATACTTTTTTGATTATTATACACAAATAAATATAGGTTGAAATGAGAAGATAATTTTTTAGACTTTTGCATTACTTTCTCCTTTAAAAAGAACACATGCTCTCAATTTCAATTGATTAGAAACTTCTCTTGAGATTCTCTGCACTGTCAGAAAAAAGGGTACGGTTGGGGTACATTTGTGAACACTTGGGGTACAAATGGTGAAGTTGTACCCTCAATGGTTCAAAGTAGCACCCTAAGATACTTATATGTACCATTTAAGGGTAAAAAAGGTACAAATATGTTCCCAACTGTCAAAGGGTCCATGTTTGGGCCATTTAAGGCCCAAAGAAAGGTACAATCACTTGTGTGAAAAAGGAGCAAGTCAACGTGTATGAAATGGTCCTTAATTTATGTCATGAGTTGTTGGTTATTTGGAAGAAATGCACACAAAAAAACTGTACATTATAAATTAAATTATTTAATTATATAAAACATGGCCTTATAAATATTATAAATTAATATTTTTGATTTAAGAAAATGTTAACATAAATCCCCCTAAATGTAAAGTGAAATGGCTAATTATACACAGACCTTTCTTTGATTATCAGATTTAATAAACTACTAGAATGGACATACAAGTATAAAGTAGATGAATACAATAGGAATTAAAGGTAACCAGCTTGGTAAACAAAGACAAAGTGCAACCTTGTAGCATTAATAAATTAATTAATAAAACAATTTTAAAACGTAACAGAATAATACTGCCAAAATAATACAGCTGAGAACAAATAATAGATTTAAAAGACCAAAAACTGGCCGTTAGATATACAAAAAAATGTAATAAATATCGTGTTTTAACTACAAGAGGGAGATTGAATCCAGCGGCAGATGCGAGATTGACTGGCCGAAGTAAAAGCTGCTGTCGGCGGGGGAGAGAATCATAAAGCTCCCGCTGACAGAGTCCGCTTTCACTGAAGCACATTGTCAAAGAAGCGCTGTCTTTTTAAATAAACTGGCGATTCGAGTTTAAAACAACTACATTCTCGCCTGAAATACTCTTAAAACTACATTTTGTGAAACATTAGATGATATTTTTTTAAACTTGCGGGTCTGCACAGCGGGGTATTGTCCATTGACTTTCACTTAGCATTAGCAGCCAGCAAATTTGAATTCGTGTTGTCCAATAGGATTTTTGCCCGCGCCGTGCATTCATAATGCCAGCTGATTACGTGTGACGGTTAATCTCCAGCTGTTGCACTGTTGTTCTGACGCTCTTCTCGGCGTCGATGGAGGATGGACCTGAAGGACGCATAGAAGCTGGAATACGCTCGTGAAGACGAAGCACAGACATTTGCAGGTAACTTAAGTTTAATGTTAAATAACTTATTGTAAATATCCGTTGGGTCATATTCAATTCATATTTGACGTTACTTTGCCTTGTGTATGTAGTTAAGGTTAACGTTACCGTCGAGTTACATGCCGCGTGAGGGGACCCTTTTGTAATTTAAGGTTGACCAGAAATTAAAATATGATTTTTTACATAACCTGGCCATGAGACAGAGCTCGAGACACTGGCAAAACAGCGGTGAAACGTCCAGAGAAACAGTTCAAACACATTTAAATTAGTTTTGTTTGGATAATGTGGTTAAGTCTTTATTGCATACGTTATTTATAAACTCAGAATTTCCTTAGTGTTGGGAAGCTAACATTCATGCTAACGTTCATGTTTATTTCGGAAAGGAGTGAAGTGAATGCCTTCATGTCTGAAACAATATAACTTTAACGTTAGTTTATGCATATGTCGACCCACGTCCATTTATAGCAGTTGTATTTTGCAACGTTACATATTTAAATAACGTTATAAATGCATGTCCAAGAGAGTCATAATCATCTGTCGTGTCAGATCGAGGTGCGGGTCATTTATCAAACCTTTAAGTTGCTAATTTAAAGCTTTTTTTTTTTTTTTGCTGTTAACCTCAAGTTCACAACGATCATAATTTTTTTTTCTTTCAGAAAATGAAGTGGACGAGGAAGCAGTAGAGTGTAATAACGTAAGTATTTAGTATTTTGTATTTCATCTGTTTGTTGATAATATATATATATATATATATATATATATATATATATATATATATATATATATATATATATATATATTTTTTTTTTTTATATATATATATATTTATATATTATGTATGTGTGTGTATACTTTTTCCCCAGGAATTCATTGTGCAGTCTTAAATTTAATCTCCTTTTTTCTATGAAACTGTTAGGTGAAGTGTTGAAGTTATATTTGAATTGTTATGATTGTCATTATTTTGCACTTATATTTGATCCAATAGGTGATTGCTGCAATTGGTGAGGATGCATCATCTTTTGAGAGTAATGCGAATGTCCTGCGTATCCAGTGAAATAAGGTGTGTGACCCTTTATTAAAAACACCCTTGTCAGTGAGATCACACATTTTAAATCAGTTCTCAGTTTAAATGAAAAGTTTAATGTCAGTAATAGCCAAAGTGTAGGATCAAATGACTATTATAAATGTTATGACTATCGTAAAAAATTTTTAATTTTTAAGCTTTGTGGTGAACATATGTGCATTCAAGCTTACAACTATTTGTACAATGATAACTAAAGGGAAATGGCAACAAAGAATATTAGATAATGTTTTTAGTTAAAGTGAATCACTAATTTCCTTTTTGTTTATTATAGTCATGGCGAACCTGACTGAATGCATTCATCAACCAACCAAGTCAGAGCTTCAAGGACAGCTTGTGCTAAAGGTGCCTGAGCTTGATTAAGAAAAAAAGCATCTCCACTGGCCAAAGTCTACAAAAAAGCAAGAGAATAGAAGTTTGCAGATGATCTAACAGGTATTAACATAAAACTTACGTAATAATAATTTTGCTAGATCAAACCCTTATTTCTTGGATGTGATCATTAAGTGCCTTTTCAAGCTGCATTTAGCAAGTTCAAACTCATGGGCCTTATATACAAACCCTTTATATACAGAACATTCCTTAATGTTTTTCTTTAAAAAAATGTAATTCATAAAAATACATCAATATTTTTTATTCAGCATTTGCTAAACATTCCAATAAGTTTTTCTTTATTTTAAAAACAGGTCCTTTATATTATTAAATTATTTAAGAGTACTTCATTATTTGTCTTTATTTTATTTTAGGGTGTCACAGTGGCGCAGTGGGTATCACGATCACCTCACATCAAGAAGGTTGCTGGTTTGAGACTCGGCTGGGTCAGTTGGCATTTATCTGTGGAGTTTGCATGTTGTCCCCATGTTGGCGTGGGTTTTCTCCGGGTGCTTCGGTTTCGTCGACAAGTCCAAAGACATGCGGTACAGATGAATTAGGTAAGCTAATTTGGCCATAGTGTGTGAATAAGTGTGTATGGGTGTTTTCCAGTGATGGGTTGCAGCTAGAAGGGCATCCGCTGTGTAAAACGCATGCTGGATATGTTGGCGGATCATTCCGCTGTGGCGACCCCAGATTAATAAAGGGACTAAGCCGAAAATAAAATAAATGGATGGATGGATGATTTTATTTTGCAATAGATTCTGACTTTCGTGCTGCTCTAATTCTGCTCCCCCATATTCTTAAAGAGGAAGATGATTGCTTACAGTAATTACACTGGGAGAGGTTTGGGTACTGTTGGTTAAACACTTTGTAATACTCTGATAGATGTTATGCAGTTCTGACAGATTTTACATTGTTTATTGATGTCTTTTACTTTTTCTTTTCACTGTGGGATGATGATGATGCTCCATACCCAACTCTACAGATGGCTGAAAGTCCGTTTTGGAGGCATTATTACATCCTTCGCTGTTTACTGTGTTTTCAACTTGGCTTATCCACACTACATAAAGAATGCAAAGGATGAACATCAGCAACTCCCCAAGATGGAACAACAATTTAAATTTGAACGTCAGCAACGGTGTGAAGATGGAGATCCAAAATTACAAGAAAAATCAGTGCAGCTGTCCGAGAGAACTTGTATTGCTGGGTCTGCATCAAACAGCAATGCTTGGATCTTTGCATTTACTTTGGTGCATGCGTTTCGAGTCTGCATCAGTATTTTAAGACTAGCAGCTATAGACATTTCAATAACATTGCCCAAATCAACTGAGAAGCACAAGATGAAACAATGCTAAGAATTTTCTCCGCCCAACATCCTTGATGAGATTGACACATTCAGGTGTTCAAATTGAACTGTTTTCGTGTGCATGTGAGACCGCTAATGGAGAAGAAATGACTCTTTCCTAATGAAATACATTTTAAATGTCAATACTGCACTGGTTTCTGTGTAGCAAGTTTTTAATTCTGCTGTTGTATGATTCATATTTCCATGCAAATACAGTAAGAGTTTGACTTTGAATGGGGTGTTATAAACCAAGACGGACTTTCAGGCTCTTGAAACATACTCTGCTGATAAAATGTTTCTTAAGAATGTTTAGAAATTTCAAATCAAATGTGTAAAACTGTTTGATCAAAAGTGTTTTTGAGATCTAAAATGATTAAGGGTATACTTTAAGTGACATGTTTCAATGTACTGTATGGAAAAAGATTGCTTTGAGATTCTTGATGCTTTTAGAAAATGTAGAATGCAGTGCACTAGCAAAAATGTTTTTATTAGGTCTACTGTTGTTTTAGAAAAATTACTTTGTTACATTGGTAAAAATGCTCAGTGAAATGGGATGCACTGATGTTAAAAAAATAATATTAAGCTTTTTTGCTGTTTCATAAAATGTTTTAAAATGTTTAAGCAGCTATTTTTTAAGTTTATGCATCTGGTATGACTTTGTGATAGTTTAAAACTTTCATCTTCTAAAAAGGTGACAATGTAATTGTTTTGAATCTTTCCATGTGTGTTTGTGATAAAATGTTACAGGTATAAAATTACAATTATCGTGCAGTTTGTACTCATGAAAAAATATTGCTTTTTATTCTTTTAAAATGATGTAATGTTTAAACATTCATCCTGTAAAAATGTTGAAATTTAATGTTTAATAAATGTGATAAATAAAATTTATTGTGTATGGAGTACAAATCTGAAATGAAAGGGTACAAAATTCATCCCTATGGAGGAGAAATTGTACCTTTTTTAAAGGTACATTATTGTACCATAGCCCAAGTAAGGTACAAATTAGTCAGCAGAGGTACATATTTGACCCATGAAGGTACATACTGCTAGGGTACAAATATGTACCCATGTGAAAGGGTACAACAGGTGTACCCTTGAGGGTACTGCCCCAGTGACAAGCCATTGTACCCCAAAAGGTACAAATTTTGCACATTTTTTCTGACAGTGTGAAGCTCCTTTATTTAATGGGAGCAATTTTCTTTTATCCTGAATGCAGATTTGAGGAGCAGATAAAGTAATAATAATCACCACTGCATAAACAACACAAAAAGACTGACACTAATTAACACACAAATAATCTCACTGAAACAGAAGAAAAAGCCAAAGTGTAATTTATTACAGTGTAATTGATCTTTCTCACAAATCTCTTTGTAATTGGACAGTAGCCATGTCAGATGGAATTAATCTGATAAAAACTAAATTTATTGAGATTTTAAGGGGTGGTTTAAATAATTTTTTTTATTCAATTATTATACTCTCAGAAAGTTATGTGAAAGGTACACATTTGTACTTGGGTCCATATTTGTACCTCAAAAGTACATATTTGTATCTGTAAATTTGAAGAGGAACACTACTTTTAAGGTACTAATATGTACCCTTGAGGTATTAATATGGACCTTTTAGTTACACATTTGTACTTTTTGTAAAGGTACCACCCCAGTGACAGCTCATGTACCTTTATTTCTGAGAGTGTAGAGAATGCCAACATCCAGTAAACTTCCTTTTTGCTATCAGAAAGTTATGTTTTTGTTATCAGGATGTTGCTATAGTTTTTTCTAGGCAAAGTTTTTTGTTGCTATCAGTGTTAAATGGTTAGTTTACCCAATACTGAAAAGTTTTGGTTGGATTGAAAGTTGTTGGATTCTTCTGCACTTATGCAATAATGTAGAAATTGCAAATGCAGTGTCAAAAATTACTGTAGTGTCATTTCAGACTTTTCCTTTTTCTGTCTGTAAAGTGATGCAGCATGATGTTGCTTCAGATTTTCATCCACATATGGCATGTTTTGTTCATGGGACTGAGCATTGTCACTGCTGTATGTATACAAATATAGGTACCATCACATACAGCTTCATGCCCTTCGTCAACAAGATAAAAACATGTTTACTTTTTAAAAAAGCATATAAACTCTAGTGTGTACATCTTTCGAGAAATTATCAAATAAAATTTGAAGCTTGTGTCATAAAAATGCACTAGTAATCACTTTCTTTAATATTCATGTAAAAATGAATTGTGGTGTTTGGATGTTTGAATCAGATAGAATGATTTAAAAAATTTCCTACTTTAATTATTATTTTTTCATTCCTAAATTGAGTATTGCATCATTTACAAACTAGTTGAGAGAAGTTGCTGGTTTTTAAATATCATTCAGAATGTGTAAGTAAATGATTAATAACCTATTCAAATTAGTATTTATAGATCTTATTATTCAGGCATATAATAATAATAATAATAATAATAATAATAATAATAATAATAATTGTTGATTTGAATAGTTTATTAATCATTTACTTATGCATTCTGAATTATCTTTGTAATTTTTTGTAAATAATGCGATACCTTATTTAGTCATGAAAAATTAATCAGCAACAAAGTAAGAAAGTAAAATTATTAAGCACATTTTAAATGTGCTTATGTCAAAAATAGAGCACATCTGTCTGCAGTTATAAACTGCTTACTAACGTCTATTAATGTAGAATTACCGCTTAACAGATAAGGAATTCACTATTTGCTAATGCTTAATAGATTATTCACATTGTGTATAAAATGTGACCATAATGTTTTCTATTTGTATATATTTTACTGTTATTGTCTTATTCTAATTTTAATTGAAAATGTGCAAAGCATAATAATAAAAAATATCCACTTAAATAACTTCAAGTTGTTACACCAAAATTGTTTTGTAAAAAAAGATTTTAAAAAATTGGTTGATCATAATTGATCATATTAGAATTTATTTATTTTTCATTTGTGATTTTGTGCAATTATGCAGTGCTGCACAGAGCTAATGGTAGAACAAAACCTCTAAGCTACAGAGAATACATTGTATGATTCCACAACTGTGTTTATAACATCATTACAATATTTCATAATCATCATTTTTGTGCGTGTATTCTGCATCAATGCAGCATTGAACACTTTCCATAACTGCACCTCCACATATCTGAAGGCGTTTGACAAAATCAACCATATCTTATTTTGAACACAACTGATATTTCATGGGAATTGTGTTCGTTGTCATCTCTCTGGGTACGCGGTTTCATATTCCATTGAATTCTGTTATGCTAGCAACCCTGTTATGAAGACTTTAATGCATCGACGACGAGTGTAACTAACCCGTTTTCCTCCCTCTCGAGCTCGTCTTTCTTGCGTGTTTGCGAGCGGGAGGAGGAGGAGGAGGCTGCTGGAGTTTGCTGAGAGTAGCTTTAACTTTTGCCAGGGGCTTTAGCAGCCATAAAAAAATAAAAATAAAAACGGGCCCGGGTTAAAGCAGCGGCTGCCTAATCTCTTCATATCTGCCGAGGCCCATTCTGCCCGACGCCGTGGGGTGCCAC